TCTGTACAACAAAATCAGAAATAAGGGCAAAATAGTTTCTGCTGGTTATTGAGGGGGTGGGGGGATGAATTGAAAAATTACTGAGATAAATGAAGACTCTAAGAAATGAGATCACATGAAACAGTAGCTTGTACACTACAGTTTTCTAGGATCACCTGAGCAAGACAAAGAGGATGGCATAGCCAGGACATCAAGATCATGTTTCTATTTCAAGTACTCCACTGAACATCCTTTCTTTTATGCATGAAAAAATTATGCACTGCGCTCTTTTTTAAAAAGCTCCCATGGTGAGGAAAACATCTGGAATAATATTCCAAATTAACATTAGTACATTTGCTGAAGAATATTTTGTAAATATCTCAAGTGTTACCCTCATAGGAAGAAGGGAATTTTCAATCTTACAAAGGAGTCTTCTCAGGGCACCATGCATGTCTCTGTTCCTCAGGCTATAGATAAGGGGTTCAACATAGGAGTCACCACCATGTACATCAGAGCTATGATATTCTCCTTCATGGTAGAATTATCAGCTGATGGACATAAGTAGATAGCAAAGCATGTCCCATAGAATACTGAACCCACAGACAGATGAGAGCCACAGGTGGAGAAAACCTTGTGGATGCCAAGGAAAGAAAAGACCTTGAGGATGGATGATACAATGTGTGCATAGGGCATGATGATAAGTAAAAAAGGAATGACACCAAGCAACCCTCCCATAATGAATATCACCAATTCATTTACTTGAGTGTTAGAGCAGGCCAGCTTCAGTAGAGTAGACATGTCACAGAAAAAGTGGGGGATCACATTGTTCTCACAGAAAGACAATGTGGCCATGAGCACTGTGTGCAACATGGCATGGAATGTGGTCAGCACCCAGGAGAGCATCACCAGGCACACACAGAGCTTGGGGCTCATGATGCTGGAGTAGTGCAAGGGGCAGCAGATGGCCACATAGCGGTCATAGGCCATGGCCACAAGAAGAAAGTTCTCTAAGTCAGCAAAAAATAGGAAGAAATACATTTGTATCAGGCATCCTGCATAGGGGATGGAGGACACTTGGCTCTGCATGTTTTGCAAAAGTTTAGGAATGGTCACAGAGGAAAGACAGAGGTCAGACAAGGACAAGTTGCTGAGAAAAAAATACATTGGTGTGTGGAAATGGGAGTCCAGTAGAATGAGGACAATTATGAGGAGATTTCCCAGGATGGTTGTAAGATACATGGCCAGGAACAGGACACAGAACAGGTCTTGGTGTTCTGGCAGGATTGGTAAGCCCAAAAGAAGGAACTCTAAGGTGATAGTTTGGTTCCTTTCTGTCATACTCTTCTGTCTCCAAAATCTTTAAGAGAAAAGAATATTGTGACTTTAAAATGTAAATAAAAAGAACATATTTCCATGTACATGTTCTGTGTTCTCAATAACCGATCTCACCCTTACCTCAATAATTTCTAAATGTCACATGTATATAATGTCTATACATTTAATGACTTTTTGGAACTGTCATTAATATCTTTCAGTACTGTATAATTTCCTAAGATTTTTTCTCTTAGCTTCTGAGACACAATGTAGAATTTTTTTTATCTTATATGACTGACCAGTCATCCTAGGAAACAGTTATTGGTTCCTTTTCTATCAGTATCTTATACATTGATGGTCTTGAAGGATTCTTGAGATGCCTATCTGCTTGTATTTCTACATAGACTCCCAAGAAAAAAATCTGTCTTCAATGTCTTACAACACCAGTTAAAATGCAGGTATAAATGTTCCGATTGCTTCATACTTGTCTTCTCTTGGGTGTGTCACAGGCAAGTTAAGCTCAATAGATCTGAAAAGAAACTCATGATCTCATTTTCCTCTCTCCCAACTTCATATTCTTCTCTAATTTACCCAAAAGAGTTCAGGATTAAATGAGAGACCTTTAATTTCATTCATTCATTCCTTTCTTTCACTTTTACTTCAAATCTAGCATGTACTAGATTCTCTTCTTCATTCTTCTGCTAGTTTGCCCCCTCCTTACCACAGGACCATATTCCTAGAACAGGAAGACACCTTATCTTTCCTGGACTATTGAAGAGAACACTGAATTCTTGTCCCTATTTCGAAGCCGCAATAATCTGTATCTTAAATTGCTTTATTTACAGCATGACAGATCAAAATCTGAATACTGCTTCAAGGTTGTCATTGCTCCTAAAATAAATGCAAAGGACACAATTGATGCTTTAACACCTGAACTTTGCCTACTGCCACAACTTCATATGTCTCCACAATGACATATGCATTCTACTTTGAATTAAGGCTGGGGTTGAAAGTCCTGATTTCCTGCATCTTGTCTACAATCCCTTGAGGTTTTATTTGCCTATCACTTTGTTTCTTCTGTTGCTTCTTCACATGGCACCCCTCTTCATGGGTATTACATGACACTTGCTCAACAACTTACTCTTCTTCCCAATCAAGTGAAACCTGCTGCTATGTTCCCACAACATCCTGTACTCATCCATAGTACTCAATGGCATTCATCAATTGTTTATAGCTGATTTCCTACCAAGCTATAAACTCCATGCATGAAAGTTTACTTCTGGCTGCACGACTGCAGCAGGCCAGTATCTGGCATGGTGCCTGGATGTGAACAGTGTATATGCATATTTTTTGACTATGTTTCAGCTGAGACACAAATTCCTTCATTTTTAAAGGCAAACTACCCATATGTAATAAAAACTATCTCTTATAAATACTCCCTGAACATAAATTTGGTAAACTTAACTATTTGGCACTAAATTTTTACATTATTTGGCATTTATGAAAAATGTTAGGGTACATATGATATAGGACTTATTTTAATACTGATTATCCAAAATAAAATCTCTATGGTTCAATTCGTATGAAGTTATTGATATTGATAACAGGAAAAATATGAGTGGCATTAAAGAAATTGTGGGAAAAATGAAAAAAGAAGCATACATCTTTTCAAAACTTCACCTGAGTTTTCCTCAGATGTCTACACTATATGATATCTTTCATACTGTACATCATTTTATCTAGGCCCTGATAGCAAGTATATGTTACATAGCAGTTCTAGATATTACTACAAAGGCATTTTTACAATGTTATTCACATGTAAGCAAGTAAATTTAGATTAGAGTAGTTTATCCTACATAATGTGATAAGCTTCAACAATCAGTTGAAGGACTTAATAAAAAAAATGCAGAAGAATTCTGGCCCTAGATATCCTTGGGACTCAAGAATGTGACATACACTCTTCCAAGGGACTCCAGTTCCGTGGCTTGCCATGCATATATACATAGGATTTATCAGTCTTCAATAATCTTTAAAAGAAAGTGAGGGGGCAGAGGGAAGGGGGAAGAAATGACCCAAACATTGTATGCACATATGAAAAAAATGAAAAACACACATACACATCCTCCCCCACCCCCCTACACCTCTTTTTCTTCTGGGCAACCTGCACTAGTAAACCCCGGTATGTCTCAAATCAGCAAGAAAACTGTGCAGGAGCATTAACAGATTTGGAAAGCTCTTTCACTGAAACTCTGTAATTGAGGTGCTGAGATCTTCCTGCTGATGGTGTTTAATGCAGCTGCATTAACAGTTTGTACAGTTGGATATTATGGTGTTGACTTATGTAGGGAAGGGATATTTGAGGGAAATCATGCAGCTTGTTTCTTCAAATTATACTTCCTTGTAAAAGAGTAAGATGCATGACATGTGCTGGGGTGTGTAGAGGGAACACAAACAGAGACTCAACCTGCGTGTGTTGCCACTGATGACCCACTGATACTCACATCTTCAGCTGATACACCTGTAGTTCTCAACCTGGACTGTCCATAAGAATCACTAAAAGCCATGTTTCTAACATTTCATGAACATATAAGGCATCTTAATCCAGTAAAAACACTGTTCCTGGTTCTGTATCTCAGTTTCTACATTTTAAATGAGCATCTAGGTGATGTCAATACTCAGCATCAATGGGCTGTAGTCAGTAGATTCACTTGAGGGTCAATGTATATATTGCATTAAAAATAGGTCATCAAGATCCCTGGACAAATTCAATCATAATCTTTGATAGGTAACCTGTTTCAATTTATTAAGATTCCAAAGTTGAAAGTAAGGTAGTACAAGGCTTAAAAACTGTGGCATTGAACCCCATCTCACAGAACTGTTGTTATGTTAAGAGGTCTTGGAAGAATATGTTGCAAGGAATTAATAGTAATAAACCCTAGCATTAAAATGATTATAAAGATTGATCATGAATAGAAATACTTCTACAATGTAGCAAAGTCTTCAGAGGCAGAAATATGGCAAATAGAGAAGGTATCACAGCTTAAAATTTGTGCTGCAGAATACCACTTTGTGTAGTAAATCACGACTCTCAGGGTGGGAGGACAGTAAGGCACCAGCTCAATTTCTTTCCTCAAAACTCACCTGGAGTGTCTGAGATTGACTGAAAGGCCATGACCCAAGACTTGCATCCCTTTTATTCATTATAGGTACAGCAAGTAATAACCTCTGTATTCACCACCTATGTCTGTTTCATCACTTATCAATTCTTCCTTCTGACCATCCCTGAGATTCTGTGTCCCATAGGAGTATAGATCCTGGACTAACTCACCAAAGATGAAGTAATTACCCAGGTTGTCTCTATGACCAACTGTCACAGAGTCCTTTAGTGATTAATAATTAATTATAATCTCTGATCACATGACTTTTCTTTAGGTCAAGGTGCAGATGCAGAGAAGCTCACCAATGGGTGCCAACTCCTTGACTGCTAAGGAAATGGATGGGAATTCTGTGGGGCTGTAGCATAATTCTGGGTCAGTTAAAGATTGTTGGATAACTGATAAAATATTCAGAGAACAGTTTGTGAATTATTCAAAATATCATACAAGTATAAGAAATCATCTCAGGTTTTTTAAAAATATATTCATTTATTTCATCTTAGGTTTTGAAGCAGAGTACCACCATGAAAAATGTATGCTTCAGAATGATTCCTAAGTCTCTGTCTCAGTCTCTGAGTACACATTTCTCCATGTACAGAGGCTCCAGAAGAGATAAACATGTCAATACAAGAACCAAACTTCTATGACCCCTATTTGCATATATGCCACTATATGGAAAGGACAGGAATAAGAGAATTACCTCAGGTCATTTTCAACTTTTCCTTGGGTCAAGTTAAATAAGTCCAGATTCACACTCCTTTCAGTTACTTTTATCTCCTTCTGTCTCTAGTAAAACCCTAATGGCACCCACCACCATCATCACAAGCATTTTATGTGTGTCAGATTACTACCTAATGCCGTGTTCTGCCTCTTCTATCAATCATGATGCCATAGGTGACATTCATAACTCCTTTTTCCACTGCCTGTGCTTCACACTTGCAGTAATTACCTTGATAATATTCTGTACCAGGTGATATAAGGTAGTATATCTGCATCTTCATCGCTCTTTCTTTTATTTGGTTATTATAGACTTTATGAAAGTTATTTTGAACACAGAAATAGTAGGTGGTAGCTAAAGATTTTATCAGAATTTCAAACACAGTAATTCCTTTTCAAGTTCTGTAAAGTGACCAAGTTTTCCCTTGTTATTCTCTATCAATCACATCAGTGAGAATGATGCCTCTGATCTTTGTACATTGGCTTACATAAGAACAAGAAATGCCTGGGTAGTAAGCTGAACTTCCAATTCAGCAAAATTGGTGTTACATCCCCTGCAAGAATACACCTATACATTCACCTATAGAAAGTATATAAATAAATGGGATTTTCAAACTTACTTAACAGCTCCCAAGTAATTCCTGTGACCACTATAGCTACATTTCATTTTCTTAATTTTGCCCTCTCCCAGACACAAACAACCTCTTTCTGCTTTATGTATTTATAGATTATCCTTGATATTTCATATAAAATAGAATCATAACAATATATGCTTTTATGGCTGCCTTCTTTCAATTAGCACAATGTTTTCAAGGTAACAGTTCCAATACTTCAATTATTCTTATATTGAATAAAATTGGATCATAGGGATACACCATATTGTGTTTAGCTAGTCAATTGATGGTTCTTCCCAATTTCATACTAGTATAAACAGTGCTACTATGAACATTCATGTATACAAATTTGTTTGAATACTGCAATTATTTTGGTACATATCTAGAGATAAAACTTCTGAGTACTGTGATCTTCCATTCACTTTTTGAGGACTTGCCAAATAAGTTTTTAGAACAACTACATCATTTCATATTTTCACCCACAGCGTATTGCAATTACAATTTCTTCACATTCTTAACAACTTATTTTTCATTTTCT